ATGTATATCTAATGCACTGTTTCAACTTAAATACAAATATAATAGACGTTATATTTTTTATTGATAAATAGATTTTGTTTGTGGTCATGAGTGGCCCGCTCTTATCTTTCTTGCGGATATTCAGTCATTTTCTGTGAAAATTATATTTGAGAAAATATTGCAGAGTTTTTGTACAATATTGCTTATGAATTATGTAAGTGGGTATTGGTAATTAAATATAAAAAGGGTAAAAGTCAATGAAGATGTCTCTATCGAACATTAGTATGATCTTTCTTTTTTTAAGAGAAATTAAAAAAGTTGAATCAAAAAAAGAACGATATTATGTAAAGCTCAATCAAATGAGGAATTTACCTTTGTACTAACTGAGGCGAACTTTCTACTTTTCTTCTTTCTTTAATTCCAGATTTTTAGTTTGTTATATTATACTTCCAGTACATAAAAGATAACATATTGGTTTTTTTTTAAAATAAAAATGACATAGTCTTATATTAAGATTGTTTAAATAATGTAAATTATTTGATTATTCAATACTAAATTATGCAGCAGTAATAGATTGATTTTTTATGTGACGAATGTTTTTTAGTCACATATTAAAAAACAATTTATGTTTTTGGTAAGATATTAAAAACAAATTCTATTTATTATAATATATAAAAATATAACTGTTACTGACCCAACGAATACTTTCTGTAGTAACTAGGGATCTTTATTTTGTGTGCAGATTAAACTATTGGAAAAAGTAGCCATGATATGTGGTTAAAGAAAAACAATATGCTCTGTTTTCTAAATACTCAAGAATAATTGTTTATATCGATGGACTTGGTCATTCAGTGGCTAACGTGTCGTTATCACGTTCGTTGTTGCCGTTATCCCCAAAAAAGTTGTTGGGTTTTAGTATATTTTAATTGGACTAAGTTGGGAATGGACGGCAACAAACGTGACTGTCGACGTTGAGGCGCACTGCAGAATGTGAAATTATGTTTGTCCTCTGATGCTCATTTGGAGTTTTTTCTACGGCCTTTCATTTTTTTTTCTTTTTTAATTTATCTTATCTATAACTTTCAGCAACGAAGTTTCCTGGAAATTTCCGCGACCAACAAGCATTTACTTTGATGATGTAGTTAATGCGATCGACCTTTTTTTGGTAAAGTTAATTGATAAGATGAAGATAAAATTAAAGATATTTTGGTATTTTATTTCATTTTTTAATTAAGCTTATTTTATGTTTTTTTTCTTTTCTATCTCCTTTTTCTATCTCTACTTTGTATGCATCCTAAGACAAACATTGTCCGTGTTAAGTGCTTCAACTAAAGTTTGCATCAGAAAAAAAAAGTATTTTGACATTCTCGTTTAGAAAAACAACCATGTTACAAATATTTTTAATAGTAAAATATAATAAAATATTAAAATAAGATATTTAATTGAAATATACATTATATTATTTAATTAAAAAGTGATAAAAATAGGTGTGAGATGAGTGTAGAAAATTTAATGGTTGTAAATTATAGTTTAACAGTTCGGTTTAATAATATATGTTAGTAATATCTATGATAATTTCGAATAAGGTGATAAAGTTTGATTTTTCTTACAATCTAGCACCTGAACTAGGATTAGCTGGAATCTAACGAAGGCTTCCGGTTAGGAAAGGTTTAAGATTAAAAGATGCTTATACGATGGAGTTTAACAATTCTAAAATGAATGGATCACATTATTTGAGAATAAAGGAAGAAACGTGGATATTTCATCAGAAAATTAGAACACTTGGAATTTTAGTAAATTAATCATGTCTCATGTAGAAGGAACACTAACAACATTTTCTTTTACGCTCTTCTTCTAATATTTTCTCTGTTCTTTATTTCTTAGTAAAAGTGTTGTTAAGATTCCATGTTTACCTTCTTCTATTATATGTGAGGACTTATCTTAGAAAAGTGAAATGACATAAATATTGCATTTCATAACTATATTTGAAAACGAAACATAAAAGGGAAAAGAAGTCAATATCATCCTTATAACGGACTGTGAATACTGAAATTGGGGTTTAATTTTGATATTCATGAATCAGTATCATTCGTCAGCATTACACTGGGCTAAGAAGCTTACATTTATAACTCAGTGGCTGTTCTAAATTGATGTACTGTAGGAGAAGCAGTACAAGCAAGCCTTAGCCTAGAATAATTCTAACTTTAATTTTATACAGTAATTGACTTGATCATAAGATTCACTCTATTTTTTCTTCTAAGAATTCACATAAACATTCACAAAGTACAATTTTAGCAATGATTATATGAAATACCTTGTCTATAGAAATGATAAAGGATTTTGCATTTTTCTTTGAAGGGACATGTCATTCTTAGTGTTAAATGCTAACGCATGACCATGACCTCTATCAGATGCAATGATCCCTGTTCCCCTATTAAATTTTCTTTTGGATATACATTGTTAATTTGTTATTTAGTTTAACAATACTATGTTAATCTACTCCATCAGGGAAAGATTCGGGCCATTATCTATGCTGAAAGGGCAGCAATGCAATTTATGGAAGGTAAGGTGCTCCAATTTTATAATTAAAATTCATATGATTTTTTAGAACTAATTATTTTTTCTTAACTTGTGGTCTTTCTCTTATAAGTTCATCTGATTTTCTTATCCAGCTATTGCTCCAGCTGAATACAAGGTGTCAGAAAAGACGAGAGAAGCTGGTTTTGGCATTGAACCAGATGATATTGCCTCACTGGTTCGAGGCCATGATTACAAGAGCTATAAAAGAATCGGTCAAGTTGAAGCAATTATAGAGAAACTTGGTGCCTCGGTTGATGACGGTGTTGGTAGCGGCAGTATAGATACCAGGCAGGAGATTTATGGAGTCAACCGTTATACTGAGAAACCTTCTAAAAGCTTCCTGATGTTTGTTTGGGAAGCACTGCATGACTTAACACTAATCATTCTCATGGTCTGTGCGCTAGTTTCTATAGCCATTGGGCTTCCCACCGAAGGATGGCCAAAAGGTGTTTATGATGGTCTGGGAATCATACTTAGTATCTTCTTGGTAGTCAATGTTACTGCTATCAGTGACTATCAGCAATCCCTGCAGTTCAGGGATTTGGACAAGGAAAAGAAAAAGATCTTTGTTCAGGTTACAAGGGACAGAAAACGACAGAAGGTCTCAATTTATGATTTGGTTGTGGGAGATATTGTTCATTTGTCAACTGGTGATCAAGTTCCTGCTGATGGCATTTATATATCAGGATATTCTTTGGTAATTGATGAGTCAAGTTTGACAGGTGAGAGCGAACCAGTAAATATAGATGAAAAAAGACCTTTTCTTCTTTCGGGAACCAAAGTTCAAGATGGTCAGGGGAAGATGATAGTTACGACTGTCGGCATGAGGACTGAATGGGGAAAGTTGATGGAAACTCTAAGTGAGGGTGGAGAGGATGAGACTCCACTACAGGTGAAATTAAATGGAGTTGCTACAGTTATTGGTAAAATTGGTTTGACTTTTTCTGTGCTGACATTTCTGGTGTTGACAATAAGGTTTGTGGTGGAAAAAGCAATTACTGGTGATTTTTTCAGTTGGTCTTCAAATGATGCATTGAAGCTGCTGGACTACTTTGCTATTGCGGTAACCATAATAGTTGTTGCAATTCCTGAAGGATTGCCATTAGCTGTAACACTTAGTCTTGCTTTTGCAATGAAAAAGTTGATGAAGGATAAGGCACTTGTGAGACATCTTTCTGCTTGTGAAACTATGGGTTCGGCAACTTGCATCTGCACAGATAAAACAGGAACATTGACCACTAACCACATGGTGGTTAATAAACTTTGGATATGTGGAAGGAGCACGGAGATTAAAGGCTATGAGAGCGTTGACAAACTAAAGACAGAGGTACCTGAAGAAGTTTTAAGCATCCTTTTGCGAGCTATATTTCAAAATACTTCTTCTGAAGTAGTTAAGGACAAAGATGGAAATTCAACAACATTGGGCACACCAACAGAATCGGCATTATTGGAATTTGGCTTGCTTTCAGGTGGCGATTTTGATGCGCAGCGTGCAACATATAAGATACTTAAGGTTGAGCCTTTCAATTCAGTCCGGAAGAAGATGTCTGTGCTAGTAGGTCTTCCTGATGGAGGTGTTCAAGCTTTCTGCAAAGGTGCTTCAGAAATAGTATTAAAATTGTGTAACAAAGTTATTGATCCTAGTGGAATAGTTGTTGATCTTTCTGATGAGCAGGCAAAGAACGTCTCTGACATTATAAATGGCTTTGCCTCTGAAGCTTTGAGAACTCTTTGTTTAGCTGTCAAAGATGTAAATGAATCCTCAGGGGAAACCAGCATCCCTGAAGATGGCTATACTCTGATAGCCATTGTGGGAATTAAGGATCCTGTGCGCCCTGGGGTTAAGGAAGCTGTTCAAACTTGCTTAGCTGCTGGAATAACTGTCCGCATGGTTACCGGTGATAACATAAATACAGCGAAAGCTATAGCTAAAGAATGTGGTATACTTACGTGGGATGGTGTAGCTATAGAAGGACCCCAATTTCGTGACTTGTCACCAGAGCAAATGGAGAGTATTATACCAAGAATTCAGGTCGTGATCCCACATTGTAAATTCTGTGATTTTCATCACTCATTTGTGAAGTTTCTCTTTCTAAGTTTCTTAACATGGTTTCAGGTTATGGCGCGATCCTTACCTCTTGACAAGCATACCTTAGTAACCCGTTTGAGGAATATGTTTCGTGAGGTTGTAGCTGTTACTGGCGATGGAACCAATGATGCTCCTGCACTGCATGAGTCGGACATTGGGCTTGCTATGGGCATAGCTGGAACTGAGGTTTGTGTCCCTGATATGTTTACTATGGTGAACCTGACGGTATTACATGTAGCAGTTCATTATACTGTTTTTGGGTCGTTGCCGGTATCTTGTTTAAGACAAACTATTGTTTTCAGTTTTAGCTACATTTTTCCTTTCCCTCTTGTCCCTCCTTTCACTCTTTTGTTTAGAGTGGTGGAGCCTCACTACTACATCCTTAAACAAGTCTGCTATTATTTAAATTCAGAAAGGCGTATAGTCTATATACAATGGAGAAAAGAAAACTTCAATTTTAGAAAACCTGGCGATAGTTTCCCTCTTAAATTCGTGAACATTTATACCTTTCAAGGACATAATCTCCTATTTTACGTGTTGTACCTTTTTGTTTTCAAGGTTTAATTACTCATCTGATTCTTATAGCTAAAAGCTCTTATCCTTTTAAATTCCTAAAGATACCTTTTTTAATCTTTTTAGTCTCTGCATATACCATTTCAGTTCTTTTATTCCTTACACCAAAGATTTAAAGGGACTAAAAACGGTATCTGAAAGGCTAAATGAAGATTTTTCAAGTATAGGGACAAGGACACTAAGGAAAAGTTTTTGTAATTATAGGGACAAAATAGTAATTAAATCTATTTTCAAAATCCATGTCCTGTCTATTGCCTAGTTGTTGTTATCAAAATTTAATAATGTTTTCTTTTTTGAATTATCCTATTACAGGTTGCCAAAGAAAATGCGGATGTCATTATAATGGATGATAACTTCACTACTATTGTCAATGTGGCCAGATGGGGACGGGCCATATACATAAACATTCAAAAATTTGTGCAGTTTCAGTTAACAGTCAATATTGTTGCTCTGATTATTAACTTTGTTTCTGCATGTATCACAGGTTTGTCATGAATTTCTATTTCCATTGGTGTTGTTGAATATGTTTCAATCAACAGAAGACTTAGTCTTTTTCCTTATTTTCAGGATCTGCTCCCCTCACAGCTGTTCAGTTGCTTTGGGTGAACTTGATTATGGACACTCTGGGCGCATTGGCTTTGGCCACTGAACCTCCGAATGATGGACTTATGCTAAGACCCCCTGTTGGAAGGACAACAAGTTTTATTACCAAATCCATGTGGAGAAATATTTTTGGTCAAAGTATATATCAACTAATTGTTCTTGCGGTTCTCACTTTTGACGGGAAGAGACTACTGAGAATTGATGGTCCAGATTCAACTATAGTGCTCAACACTTTGATATTCAACTCCTTTGTATTTTGCCAGGTAAAATTCGTATGCACCCTCACATCAATTGTGATTGACAAATATATGATTAAATGTTTTAAAGATGAAAAGTGGAAGAAAATTTTAACATAATTAAACGATTTAGTGAAGTTTGACAGAATTGGTGTTAGAAAAATTAACAAATATGTGAAATAAATACTCAATTTGGTTCTAAAAAAGATTGAAAAGTCAAAATTGTTCATGAATAATTTTTTTATAACTATTGTATAGAATTCTCATAAAAACCCTATTAACAAAAAAATTTACAAAAAAATACTTAGATGGTATAATATTCGAATACTAATTTTCATAAATTACGTATTTATTCCAAATAATATGATTAAACTTTCTCGAGTGTATAGATGATTAAGTGAAAGTTTAAAGTAAATAATACATGATTTGACAGTATAAAATGTATTTAATTCAAGCACTTAGCAAGATACTTGACTTAACTGATTTAAAATGATTTTGGTTTCCTTAAATTTGTTGAATTCACTTCCTAAAATTGTTTTTTTTAACTTAAAATGATCAAACTTTGTCTATTATTTTTCCATAGTGCTAACCGTGTACGGCTATGAAACTCAGTTTTAGCATTTTAATACCTTAGCTATTACCTCTATGATACCTAAAAATTTGGCCTTAAATACTATTTTAAACCGTTGAGGCAAAATGATCAAACTTTCCACTGTATTTTGCTAATTTTGTTTGCTGTTTTCCTTTTGCCCCATTCCTTTGCCAGGTTTTCAATGAGATAAACAGCCGAGATATTGAAAAGATAAACATATTCAAGGGGATTTTTGAGAGCTGGATATTTTTTACGGTTATTTTGTCGACAGTGGTATTTCAGGTAGTGATAGTTGAGTTCCTGGGAACACTTGCCAGCACAGTGCCTTTAAGCTGGGAATTCTGGGTACTCAGCGTGGTAATTGGAGCAATTAGCTTACCCATAGCTGCTATACTTAAGTGCATCCCAGTTGACAAAAGAGAAGCCACATACCACCATGATGGTTATGAGCCACTGTCTGGTCCCGAGCTCACATAAAGTACGTCAACACTATTATATCTTTACCCTTCTATCATTTTCTTTTTGTAAATCTGGCTGAAATTTTGGCCTTTCTTGTCTGTGTTCTAATTTTTAAGAAACTTTCTAAACATTAAAAAAATGGAGTTAGGAATAGCCACACACGTTCTTAATTCATATCGATCAATATGATTGAACAAATTTATTTGATTCAGAGTTTTAGTCTTAATGGGATTCAACTCAAATTCAGTCAATAGAACTATTTGATTTTATTAGGTTGGATTGATTTGAGTTGTGAAAAAAAAGTTGAATATTTGAAGTCAGTTTCACGTGACTAATTATTGATTTGAATTTTTTTATTTTTATCTTTTCTAATCTGGAAACGGTTACTACAAAGCTAATCAAAGTTTTTTTTTTTAAAAAATGAAAAATGTTTTTTTTTTCTATAATGACTAGTTTTGTGATGCAATTTGGCAAAATATCATTTCCAAATTAGAAATTTGTTGTGTTTTTTTCTCTTCTTGGCTATAAATCTTTAATGGAGAGAGGAACAAAAAAGTTGACATTTGAAAATAGTTATAATGTAAAATTATAATAAAGTTTTATATAATTTTAAGAAGAAAAAAAGAGAACCTTTCATCTTGTCCATTTTTTAATAGATAATGGATGCTATAGAAATTTCAGATTTTATGAATATATGGTGAGAATACATATTTATGGTAGACAAAAAGGTATATACTTAGACTGACTTTATAATCCTGTTTAACCTAAATGTAATTCAAAAATAACTCTAACCTTCTAGTAATTTTTTTTCTCAATAAAATAATTATGGATGCTTGTTGGAATAAAACTAGCACCAAACTAATTTTAAGTCTAACAACATAGCATGTGTTTTTTTTATCAGCATGTGTAATCTCGACTTTACATAGCATTGCAATACCTACTTTACAAATTATATTTTTTTTTTCTATTTCAAAAAATAATGATAATTTTGTCATGAGATCTTAACAATTAAGGAAAGTACTATTTTTTTTGTCTCCCTGAAATAAAAGTTATATATTTATTTCATTTTATTCTTAACAAAACAATTACAGTCTTAAAAAATTTGGACTTAGAATCTTTTATGGTTGGATTTGTTCTTCGTTATGGACTTGCTCATGTGGCGTTCTCATAATCATAATTTGTCTCAGTTTACACTTCTTCAACAAACACATTTTCGTGAAAGTATAATATCAACATGTCAAGGTTCTCTCAAGGCATCTTCAAAGAATAATCTCTATTAATGATGCTTATATTAAGTAAAAATTTGCATATACATACATCAATCAAATAATTCTAGTTGAATAATACAAAAGGACCTTAAAATTGTAGAGCTAGCTTAAAAACTCTAGTTCACCTTATAATTACTTTACAATATCACCTCCACTAAGACTTATCACCTATTGAAGGGATGAGATAATTATTTATCAGCATAATGCTTCAGTACATATTGTCCCGTAGTTTATCAATAAAACCTTTTTGTTTAGAGAGATGGTTATAAATTAATTTTTTTTGAAAAAAACTTAATGATTTAGTTTTCTAATTTGCTAGTTTGATTCATTTTTTTTTTCAATTTAGTCGTTTAATTTTTTTTTTGAAAAGGTTTAATTTGATATTTAAGTTGTGTCAATTCTTAAATTTTTAATTTTTTAATTTATTTATTTATTTTAATTTAAAAGATATAACCTATCACATGTCAAGATCATGATTACGTAATCATCACTTAACACGTGACAATTTTTTTAAATTAAGAAAATTAAAAAATTAAAAGATTTTAATAAAAGGAAGGATTAAATTGAACCTAAAAATATTAAAGGATTAAAATAAACCAAAATCAACAAATTAAAAGACTAAATCTCTAATTAAGTATTAAAAAACTTTAAATGAGTCTCACATGTGTTGTAGTTGTTAAAATAGGAAGATGTTTGAAAGACTTTTTTTCATCTACCTCCAAATAACATGGTGCCAACAAAGGATGGTGGGTTGTTGCTATTTTATCATGAAGATACTTTTACTCTCCTAAGACAATCATGATGTTGGTAGTAAGTGGTGGTATTGAGTGTGATGGTGTTTGAAATTATTATAAGAGAATTACATAGTGTAATGATGTGAAACACAGAATGAAGAAAATAAATAGAGAGCTCATGGTAGTGTGTGTACCGAGTAGAGAAGAATAGTAGTGAAGTCACATTAGAGTGTGCATACCGTGGTTGTGAAGTAAAAAAAAAAAAAAGTGTCTTTGAGCAATTAATAAAATTGAGGTTTGGGTTTCAAAGCAAAGTGTCTCGCTAATATCAAATTAGTATCAGAACTAGTTAGATCCATCATTGATTTCGTGAGTTTGTGAGAGAGTTGGTAAAAAAAAATTAAATGTGTGAGGAATAAGAGAGTTCTCACTTTATCAAATTTTTAGAGTTTATTGAAGATGGTTACAAATTACAATATTGTTTTGTTTGATCTCAAATTAGAGATGGGAAACTAGATTATAAGTATGGAGCATGGTTGATGTCCACCCATTTGAAAGCTCACAGTATTTGGAGTTTTATTGAATCAAGTTTAAAGTAAGGAGTTGATGATGCACTCATAAAAAGAACCTTCTGGCACTATCACAAATTCATCCAGTGTAAACTACTGATTTTTGGCAAAATAGTAAATGTCAAACCAACCAAAGAAGCGTGGAATTTTTTGAAGTGGTCATACAAAGGAGTAGAGAAATCTCATAAATCCATACTATAGTTTATGCGTCCAGAATATGAAAAGTATGAGATGTCTAGTTCAAAAATATGAATAATATTTTCCATGGATAACAGACCTTGTTAATAAGATGAAGGTATATGGAGAATCCTAAAAACAAGGTGATGGAAATTTTTTTATGTAACATGCCAATGAAGTTTGATCATATGTGGTGGCTACCATAATTGAGTCCCTCACATACTATGATAGTTGTAGAATTGTAAGGTAACACTGAAAGTCATGTGAGTAAAAANAGAATGTGGTATACTTACGTGGGATGGTGTAGCTATAGAAGGACCCCAATTTCGTGACTTGTCACCAGAGCAAATGGAGAGTATTATACCAAGAATTCAGGTCGTGATCCCACATTGTAAATTCTGTGATTTTCATCACTCATTTGTGAAGTTTCTCTTTCTAAGTTTCTTAACATGGTTTCAGGTTATGGCGCGATCCTTACCTCTTGACAAGCATACCTTAGTAACCCGTTTGAGGAATATGTTTCGTGAGGTTGTAGCTGTTACTGGCGATGGAACCAATGATGCTCCTGCACTGCATGAGTCGGACATTGGGCTTGCTATGGGCATAGCTGGAACTGAGGTTTGTGTCCCTGATATGTTTACTATGGTGAACCTGACGGTATTACATGTAGCAGTTCATTATACTGTTTTTGGGTCGTTGCCGGTATCTTGTTTAAGACAAACTATTGTTTTCAGTTTTAGCTACATTTTTCCTTTCCCTCTTGTCCCTCCTTTCACTCTTTTGTTTAGAGTGGTGGAGCCTCACTACTACATCCTTAAACAAGTCTGCTATTATTTAAATTCAGAAAGGCGTATAGTCTATATACAATGGAGAAAAGAAAACTTCAATTTTAGAAAACCTGGCGATAGTTTCCCTCTTAAATTCGTGAACATTTATACCTTTCAAGGACATAATCTCCTATTTTACGTGTTGTACCTTTTTGTTTTCAAGGTTTAATTACTCATCTGATTCTTATAGCTAAAAGCTCTTATCCTTTTAAATTCCTAAAGATACCTTTTTTAATCTTTTTAGTCTCTGCATATACCATTTCAGTTCTTTTATTCCTTACACCAAAGATTTAAAGGGACTAAAAACGGTATCTGAAAGGCTAAATGAAGATTTTTCAAGTATAGGGACAAGGACACTAAGGAAAAGTTTTTGTAATTATAGGGACAAAATAGTAATTAAATCTATTTTCAAAATCCATGTCCTGTCTATTGCCTAGTTGTTGTTATCAAAATTTAATAATGTTTTCTTTTTTGAATTATCCTATTACAGGTTGCCAAAGAAAATGCGGATGTCATTATAATGGATGATAACTTCACTACTATTGTCAATGTGGCCAGATGGGGACGGGCCATATACATAAACATTCAAAAATTTGTGCAGTTTCAGTTAACAGTCAATATTGTTGCTCTGATTATTAACTTTGTTTCTGCATGTATCACAGGTTTGTCATGAATTTCTATTTCCATTGGTGTTGTTGAATATGTTTCAATCAACAGAAGACTTAGTCTTTTTCCTTATTTTCAGGATCTGCTCCCCTCACAGCTGTTCAGTTGCTTTGGGTGAACTTGATTATGGACACTCTGGGCGCATTGGCTTTGGCCACTGAACCTCCGAATGATGGACTTATGCTAAGACCCCCTGTTGGAAGGACAACAAGTTTTATTACCAAATCCATGTGGAGAAATATTTTTGGTCAAAGTATATATCAACTAATTGTTCTTGCGGTTCTCACTTTTGACGGGAAGAGACTACTGAGAATTGATGGTCCAGATTCAACTATAGTGCTCAACACTTTGATATTCAACTCCTTTGTATTTTGCCAGGTAAAATTCGTATGCACCCTCACATCAATTGTGATTGACAAATATATGATTAAATGTTTTAAAGATGAAAAGTGGAAGAAAATTTTAACATAATTAAACGATTTAGTGAAGTTTGACAGAATTGGTGTTAGAAAAATTAACAAATATGTGAAATAAATACTCAATTTGGTTCTAAAAAAGATTGAAAAGTCAAAATTGTTCATGAATAATTTTTTTATAACTATTGTATAGAATTCTCATAAAAACCCTATTAACAAAAAAATTTACAAAAAAATACTTAGATGGTATAATATTCGAATACTAATTTTCATAAATTACGTATTTATTCCAAATAATATGATTAAACTTTCTCGAGTGTATAGATGATTAAGTGAAAGTTTAAAGTAAATAATACATGATTTGACAGTATAAAATGTATTTAATTCAAGCACTTAGCAAGATACTTGACTTAACTGATTTAAAATGATTTTGGTTTCCTTAAATTTGTTGAATTCACTTCCTAAAATTGTTTTTTTTAACTTAAAATGATCAAACTTTGTCTATTATTTTTCCATAGTGCTAACCGTGTACGGCTATGAAACTCAGTTTTAGCATTTTAATACCTTAGCTATTACCTCTATGATACCTAAAAATTTGGCCTTAAATACTATTTTAAACCGTTGAGGCAAAATGATCAAACTTTCCACTGTATTTTGCTAATTTTGTTTGCTGTTTTCCTTTTGCCCCATTCCTTTGCCAGGTTTTCAATGAGATAAACAGCCGAGATATTGAAAAGATAAACATATTCAAGGGGATTTTTGAGAGCTGGATATTTTTTACGGTTATTTTGTCGACAGTGGTATTTCAGGTAGTGATAGTTGAGTTCCTGGGAACACTTGCCAGCACAGTGCCTTTAAGCTGGGAATTCTGGGTACTCAGCGTGGTAATTGGAGCAATTAGCTTACCCATAGCTGCTATACTTAAGTGCATCCCAGTTGACAAAAGAGAAGCCACATACCACCATGATGGTTATGAGCCACTGTCTGGTCCCGAGCTCACATAAAGTACGTCAACACTATTATATCTTTACCCTTCTATCATTTTCTTTTTGTAAATCTGGCTGAAATTTTGGCCTTTCTTGTCTGTGTTCTAATTTTTAAGAAACTTTCTAAACATTAAAAAAATGGAGTTAGGAATAGCCACACACGTTCTTAATTCATATCGATCAATATGATTGAACAAATTTATTTGATTCAGAGTTTTAGTCTTAATGGGATTCAACTCAAATTCAGTCAATAGAACTATTTGATTTTATTAGGTTGGATTGATTTGAGTTGTGAAAAAAAAGTTGAATATTTGAAGTCAGTTTCACGTGACTAATTATTGATTTGAATTTTTTTATTTTTATCTTTTCTAATCTGGAAACGGTTACTACAAAGCTAATCAAAGTTTTTTTTTTTAAAAAATGAAAAATGTTTTTTTTTTCTATAATGACTAGTTTTGTGATGCAATTTGGCAAAATATCATTTCCAAATTAGAAATTTGTTGTGTTTTTTTCTCTTCTTGGCTATAAATCTTTAATGGAGAGAGGAACAAAAAAGTTGACATTTGAAAATAGTTATAATGTAAAATTATAATAAAGTTTTATATAATTTTAAGAAGAAAAAAAGAGAACCTTTCATCTTGTCCATTTTTTAATAGATAATGGATGCTATAGAAATTTCAGATTTTATGAATATATGGTGAGAATACATATTTATGGTAGACAAAAAGGTATATACTTAGACTGACTTTATAATCCTGTTTAACCTAAATGTAATTCAAAAATAACTCTAACCTTCTAGTAATTTTTTTTCTCAATAAAATAATTATGGATGCTTGTTGGAATAAAACTAGCACCAAACTAATTTTAAGTCTAACAACATAGCATGTGTTTTTTTTATCAGCATGTGTAATCTCGACTTTACATAGCATTGCAATACCTACTTTACAAATTATATTTTTTTTTTCTATTTCAAAAAATAATGATAATTCTGTCATGAGATCTTAACAATTAAGGAAAGTACTATTTTTTTTGTCTCCCTGAAATAAAAGTTATATATTTATTTCATTTTATTCTTAACAAAACAATTACAGTCTTAAAAAATTTGGACTTAGAATCTTTGATGGTTGGATTTGTTCTTCGTTATGGACTTGCTCATGTGGCGTTCTCATAATCATAATTTGTCTCAGTTTACACTTCTTCAACAAACACATTTTCGTGAAAGTATAATATCAACATGTCAAGGTTCTCTCAAGGCATCTTCAAAGAATAATCTCTATTAATGATGCTTATATTAAGTAAAAATTTGCATATACATACATCAATCAAATAATTCTAGTTGAATAATACAAAAGGACCTTAAAATTGTAGAGCTAGCTTAAAAACTCTAGTTCACCTTATAATTACTTTACAATATCACCTCCACTAAGACTTATCACCTATTGAAGGGATGAGATAATTATTTATCAGCATAATGCTTCAGTACATATTGTCCCGTAGTTTATCAATAAAACCTTTTTGTTTAGAGAGATGGTTATAAATTAATTTTTTTTGAAAAAAACTTAATGATTTAGTTTTCTAATTTGCTAGTTTGATTCATTTTTTTTTTCAATTTAGTCGTTTAATTTTTTTTTTGAAAAGGTTTAATTTGATATTTAAGTTGTGTCAATTCTTAAATTTTTAATTTTTTAATTTATTTATTTATTTTAATTTAAAAGATATAACCTATCACATGTCAAGATCATGATTACGTAACCATCACTTAACACGTGACAATTTTTTTAAATTAAGAAAATTAAAAAATTAAAAGATTTTAATAAAAGGAAGGATTAAATTGAACCTAAAAATATTAAAGGATTAAAATAAACCAAAATCAACAAATTAAAAGACTAAATCTCTAATTAAGTATTAAAAAACTTTAAATGAGTCTCACATGTGTTGTAGTTGTTAAAATAGGAAGATGTTTGAAAGACTTTTTTTCATCTACCTCCAAATAACATGGTGCCAACAAAGGATGGTGGGTTGTTGCTTTTTTATCATGAAGATACTTTTACTCTCCTAAGACAATCATGATGTTGGTAGTAAGTGGTGGTATTGAGTGTGATGGTGTTTGAAATTATTATAAGAGAATTACATAGTGTAATGATGTGAAACACAGAATGAAGAAAATAAATAGAGAGCTCATGGTAGTGTGTGTACCGAGTAGAGAAGAATAGTAGTGAAGTCACATTAGAGTGTGCATACCGTGGTTGTGAAGTAAAAAAAAAAAAAAGTGTCTTTGAGCAATTAATAAAATTGAGGTTTGGGTTTCAAAGCAAAGTGTCTCGCTAATATCAAATTAGTATCAGAACTAGTTAGATCCATCATTGATTTCGTGAGTTAGTGAGGGAGTTGGTAAACAAAATTAAATGTGTGAGGAATAAGAGAGTTCTCACTTTATCAAATTTTTAGAGTTTATTGAAGATGGTTACAAATTACAATATTGTTTTGTTTGGTCACAAATTAGATGGGAAACTAGATTATAAGTATGGAGCATGATTGATGTCCATCCATTTGAAAGCTCACAGTATTTGGAGTTTTATTGAATCAAGTTTAAAGTAAGGAGTTGATGATGCACTCATAAAAAGAACCTTCTGGCACTATCACAAATTCATCCAGTGTAAACTACTGATTTTTGGCAAAATAGTAAATGTCAAACCAACCAAAGAAGCGTGGAATTTTTTGAAGTGGTCATACAAAGGAGTAGAGAAATCTCATAAATCCATACTATAGTTTATGCGTCCAGAATATGAAAAGTATGAGATGTCTAGTTCAAAAATATGAATAATATTTTCCATGGATAACAGACCTTGTTAATAAGATGAAGGTATATGGAGAATCCTAAAAACAAGGTGATGGAAATTTTTTTATGTAACATGCCAATGAAGTTTGATCATATGTGGTGGCTACCATAATTGAGTCCCTCACATACTATGATAGTTGTAGAATTGTAAGGTAACACTGAAAGTCATGTGAGTAAAAATTTTAAGAAAATTGAAAGAGTAAATAAGTCAAGTGAATTTGATCAACATAACAAAATCCAGTCAAAGTGAAGACAATAAAGGTTGCGAAGATGAAAAGATAAATTTTAGAGGTGAAGGTTGTGATAACTTTAGAGAAAAAGGTTTTTGTAATTTCAGTCAGCAATGGAAAGACAACTTTAGGCTACCTAATCAAGAAAGAGGTGAACACAATTTTAGACCTATCAATTGTGGAAAAGGAACAACTACTAAGAAAGGACAAATTTCAATTACACCAATGTTTAAAGTTCGAGCATATAGTTGTATATTGCATATTCAAACAATAGCCAGATATAATAGAAAATCAATATCAACATACTAGTGAAACTTTTGATAACTCATATACTTTACTTCTAGTAGAGAATAATCTTGTCGGCGATGAAATAATTTAATACTTAAATACTTACTACAAAAACCACGTGTGGGGAAAATGAGTTATTTTCCCCACTAGATGAAACAGTCAAATCTATTGTGAAGTTTAGAAATAATACAAATATTCTAATTTTGGGGAAAGGAAGAATTGCTATTTGATTAAAGGATGACTATCAGAATTTCATCTATGATGCTTTCTATGCTTTTGGTATTCATCAAAATCTATTGAGTATAAGACAATCATCAGAAAGAGGCTACAACATGCATTTTAGTAAAAATGACTTCTAATCGCTTATTTCCTTTGAAATTTCAACATAGAGAATTATCTTGCTTAAGTTCTTTCATACCAAATGATGATTGGCTATGTCACATGCGCTTTGGACATTATCATTTTTCTGGATTAATTTTTTTTATCAAGAAAAGAATATGAATCTAGATTGCCTGTTATAAAAATTTCGGAAAGTGTTTGTGAGACATCATGTGAAATTGGAAATAAGAACAAAGAATATTTTCCAACCAGAAAGTTGTGGAAAGCAAGAAAGCCATTGGAGATTGTTCGTTTAGATTTGGGCATGATTGAGATAATCGACCCATGGCGGTAGCAGATATTTGTATACTTTCATTGAAGACTTTAGCTTGGGTATATTTTTTGAAATAAAAATTAGAAGCATGTGATGCCTTTAAGTCATTTAAGGCATTTGTGGAGAAACAAAGTGATTGTAAGATTAAAGCACTAAGGACAAATAGAGGCAAGAATATCTTACTTGTGTAGATTTCTTTGACCACCATGGGATTTAACATCAACTAACAAACAAATACACTCCTCAACAAAATGGAGTTGAAGAAGGAAAGAATAGAATAATCATGGACATGGTGACATGCATGCTTAAAGTTAAACAATTTCATAGAGAATTTTGGACAAAAGTAGTTTCTATTGTTGTGTATATTTTGAACAGGTGTCCAACTTTGTGATAAAACACCAAAAGAAACTTGGAATGGAAGGAAGCCCTCAATTCAACATCTCAAATTTTTTGGATGTATATCATATGTCCATGTACTAGATCAAATCAGAGAGAAGCTTGATGATAAAGGAGAGAAATACATCTTTATTGGTTACAATACTAACTCAAAAGTGTACAAGTTTTACAATCCAATGGCAAAGAAAGTAGTCATCAGCAAGGACGTGACATTTAACAAAGAAGAAATGTGGAATTGGTCTTCCAAAGCTCAAAATAAACCTGCAGTAAATCTATACAGTTATAAAGAGGAGGACGATCATGTAGATCTAACACTTGCTGAACCAGAAATATCAAGCAGACCACAAAGGCAACAAAAACTACTAGTTAGATTGGAGGATTATGTTATAGAAAATGATAATGATCCATCTGATGAAAAAAATATTGATTTTTCTTTATTTATAAATTGTGAACCTGTAACATTTGAAGAAGTTTCAAATAATCAACATTGGAGGAAAGAAATAATTGAATAAATCCATGCCATTGAGAAGAATCAAACATAGGAATTGACATACTTACCAATAAACAAAAGGCCGATTAAGTAAAGTGGGTGTACAAAACTAATTCCAAACCCATTGGAGAAATGGATCGCTACAAAGCAAGGTTGGTAGCAAAAAGGTACAAACAAAAACAATGTATTAATTATTTTGAGATATTTGCTCCTATGGCTAGATTAGATACAATCCGTATGATTATCTCTCTATCAACTCAAAAATAATTTGAAAATTAATCAAATGGATGTTAAGTCTACTTTTTTTTAAATGACA